ATGGAAATGCCAAACTGGAAAAATCAGCACACACTTCTCATGCTTGAGTATTCCCCAAAGTCATGTGCAGGAGTGAAAGGGATGAGACTGCTGGCATGCATGCTGGGTCAGAGCCCTGAGTCACAGAGCTGCTTCCCGTGGGCAGCAGAGCCTGGAGGGTGGAAGAAGCTCTCCCAGCTCTCCGGCACTGACCACAGACCTCAGCTTTAATACATTATTTCTAGCCCAAATGTCTGTGGCAAAGGTATGTGTGCAGCCTGTGGTGCTGCACTGTGCACCCAGTGCCTGTGGTTGCAGGAGGAACGTGGGCAGCACGGAGGTGGGAGGATGCAGGTGCAAGGGGCTGACATGAGGCAATGGGAAAATGCACAGCCCCCACCTATGAAAGGAGGAAGGCTCCACGTACGGACACCCAACACCGGTGGCATGGCGTGAGAGGCCTAAAAGGAGAGGACGAGGTGTATAAATGACCCTGCCTGAGAACATGGTGTGTAAATGAGTCCCTCTGCAGCTCCAGCACGCCAACCTTCTGCTTCTGACAGCAGCCACTGTCAGATGTGTGGTGCCCAGTGATGCTCACACATCCCCATGTGCCGGGCAGGCAGTGCTCAGAGCCAGGGCTGCCAGCCTCCTGGTTGTGCAAGGCAGTCTCCATGGTTTCCTGTTTCACCGATTTGTCTAATTGCTTTTTAACCCATACCTTTGGCATTCCCAGCATCCTGTGGGAACGAGTCTTGCCGTTTGACCGGACCGCGAGTCGGCTCCATTTCTGTTTGTTTGAAAATTCCTGCTTGATAATTTCACTTGAAGGCCGTGGTGCTTTTGTTTGAGAAATAGTAAATAATCGCGCTCCATTTGCTTTCTCCGTATTTGTCATGATTTCACATAGCTCTAAAATATCACATCTCTACAAACCTAAAGAGTTTGTGTTTGTTTAATCTCTTCTTGCACAGAAACACTTCCTTCTCTTTAATGTGGAGTGAGCAGAACTTCTTGTAATATCCGAGGTGTTGACACACTGCAGTTTTATCTACTAGATTTGCTGGTTTGGTTTCTGTAGCTCTTCTACAGCAATGCCTATCGGTCTGTTTGCCTTCTGACTGCTCTGGGTGATTCAGTAACCATTTCCACAGGACTCCCCACAGTGACAACAAGCTCTTTCTTGAGTGTTAAAAGCTGACCCAGGGCAGATAGTAACCAAATGGTTGTGTGTTCCATGTTTGTTGGTTTGTTTTTAAGCGTTTTCTGTCATTCTGTCACTTGGTGTCAGGAGATCCCTTTATGGCCAGTGTAATGTTTACCAGCTTGAATATTTATGTGTTATTGAGAAACTCAGCCACTTAATTATTCCTCTCATTTTCCAAATCCTTTGTGAAAACGTTCAGACAATACAGTTTGCTTCTGGGGCTTAACTGGTGAATGTGCTCCATTGTAAAGGCTGACCTGCTTTTTCTGTTCTGAGTTTGGGGCAGGACTGCATGATATTCTGTCATCATTCATAGCTTTGACTTTGTAGAAGAACAGAAGTGGAGATGCCAGTGTACAAAATTAACCAGACTTCCCCTATTCTTTCACCTGCTTCATGGACCCTGTAGGTTTGTGGAGCAAGACTCCTTTTCCAAAAGCTCTGTTGGCTCATCCCTTCCTTTTGTCCTGCTGTTTGGTTGGGGGGAATGTCAGGGTTATCAATCTGCTGTTCCCAGATCGCCTTCAAGTTCTTCACATTCAGTTTTGTGTTTGCTACATTCCTTTTTCCTGGTGCTGGGATCGATTTATTGATGAGTTATACACTGCTGCTAAGAGTTCACCAGGTCAGTCCGTGATGTGAATTAGAGCTCTTTGATGGACACTATCTTGTCCTGTTCTCTCTTTTCCGAGTCCCTTTTAGGAGGACTTTGTCATGACATTTCAAATCAAATCAATCCTTTTGACTCATCTCCCATGAAGAAACTCTGTGGAGCACTCTGAATTCAGAGAATACAGAGAAAACCAAGGCAAGGCACGCACTTAGCTTTGGTGCTAGAGACCTTGCTTCACCAGCCTTGTCCCTGAAGAACAGATGTCTTTAAGTGGTTCTCAGAAAAAGAAAACAAATGATCTCTTTTCTATGGGCATAGCTGATTCAGTGAGAATGTAATAAGCCTAAACTGCAGCAGAATGGATTCAGATAAGTCATCAGAGACTATTGTACTGTGCGGGGGAGAGCGCAGCCCTGGACTGGATTGCCTGGGGTGGGTGAGGAATCTCCATTTTTGGAGGTCTTGAAAACAGGTTAAACGAGTGTCTCTGAGGAATGTTTGAGGTCTGGCTGATCCTGCCTTCAGGCAGCAAAGTGGGCTCGGTGACCTCTCAGGGTCATCTTTTTTTCTGCTGTTTTAGAAGCGAAGCCCCAGATGAGCGGCTGGCACTTCCCCTGCGCCCGCCGTTCCCTGGGGCATCTCCGTGGGCAGCTGTGCAGGTGAGCTGCTGCTGCTCCGTGCAGTGTGGGGCAGGTCGGTGCGCAGGCGGCAGGGCTGCTGGGAAAGGCTGCAAGAAGTTAGAAAGACGAGTTTGGTATTTTTGGAGGGATGGTGTGGGTGGAAATGATAGAGAAGGAGCTGCCATAGGGTAAGGAAATGAGGGAAAAAAGGGGCAGCAAGCACGTAGGGATGTGGGGGAAGCTCTGCATCCTGCTCAGCAGGTGGCAGAGAGAAATGGAGTGATAAAACCAGGGGGTTCAGAAGCCTGACTGACTGGATTTTGCCCTTTCTCTGCTAGATTTGAGAGGCTTCCTAGGAGGAGAAATGACTTCTTGGTTTGGCAGTGGGTGCTGCAGACGTCCCCAGCCTGGAGAAGTGCTTCAGTCCTCAGGCAGTGAGCTGGTCTGTGGCCACACATGGTCTGGTTTTGGGGGCAGTGAGGGATGCTGATGCAGCAGCTGGAGCGCAAGCCCTGTCTTCACTGAGGAATCTCATAATATTTGTTTTTCCACATGATCCTTGGCTTACTTTTTGGGTCTGCTCTTGTCCTGCGAGTACAATGTGCAGCTGTGATTGCTCACTCACTCAAAATGCAGCAACTGATGTTGTGGAAGTGCCAAAAAATGCAGTTGTAGGATGTGAAAAGTAAGGGCCAGGTCCTGCTGCTTTGCTGCTCCTTGACAGGTTGCCTCTTTGTCACCAAACAGAGGGAGAAGAGGTAGGAAGCGAGAGTGGAGGCTGCTGAGAGCTCCTCCTGGCTGCCTCTTGCTCATCTTTTATAGAGTGCTGAGGAAGGCACCAGCAGTCTCAGCTCCAAGAGGTGATTTGTGCCCAGTGAGGGACTCATTGCAGGATAAAGGGAGCCACCAGTGTGCCCCAGTCCTGTGGACTGCAGCCTGCAGGGATGCTGCATGCCTGGGGCTCTGCTGGTTGTGGGTTCCCTGCTGCTGGCCATGCCCTCTGTGAGTGTAGTTGTGCCCCAGGCAGGACTTTTGCTTGGCCAGGGAGATCAGGTGTCCCAGAGTGCAAAAAGGAAAATCACAGTGACCAGTCTTAATAGGAGATCACAGGGAAAGTTTTGGTGCATTCATCAGCATTAGCAGGTCTTGCCCCGGTTACCACCCAGGTTCCCCTTCAAGAGTTCATATATGCTGCTCAAGATTATTTGGAGATGTGGAATCATTAAGGTTGGAAAAACCTCTGAGATCATTTAGTCCAGCCATCCACCTACCACCAATATTGTCCACTGGCTGTGTCCCTCAATACTACATCTTTCCTTAAACACCTCCAGGAACACTGACTCCACGACCTCCCTGGGCAGTCTGTGTCAATGCCTGACCCACTTCTTCCCAAATCAGCTGCAGGCAGAGATGTCCCCTGCCCCCATCTGCCCCACACATCTCAACAGCATCACATCCCACTACTTGGCTTGCACTAATGAGACCCTGTGAATCCCCTTGCTGCTGCAGAGCAGTGTCTCATGGTGCACTGGGGGTCTGGGCTCCTTTGGGAGCCTCCCCATTCTGAATCTGACGAGTCAACTCCCTTCTGCACAGCTCTGGGATGGTGCTGCAGCTACCTGCAGAGCAGGGCATGCAGCTGGATGGACAGAGGCACAAAGCCTGCCCTGATCCTGCTGCTTTATGATGCTGAGCTTTCTTGCTTGCTTCCCACATACTTGCACACACTGATGCATTAATAAAAGCTGCCCAGCACCCTTAGAATTTATAGGCTTTTCTGTACCATAACCTCTTAATGCACTGCAGTTTAGTCACAGAAAAGGACGCCTGCCAGCTTTTCTAGGAAAAAAGCTGGGAATGTTCATGCAAGATGACAGGACTCCCCAGAGGGAGCCAAGAATTGCAGCTTCTTTTGGCCACCCATCTTTCAGCCTTCCCCCCACCGCCAGGCTGCAAAGACAGAGGCAGTTGCACAGTGCTGAGGCAGGGATGTGATGGGGCTCAGTCCCTCTGCCAGCAGCTTGGCTCGAAGTGGTGAACATTTTTCCAGGGGATGTGGTCCCTGGGATCTTTCCTTCTCCCCTCTCATTCCTGGTGTTTCCTGCAAAGTGCTTTCAATTTTGCCATCCTTCCTTGGGCTTCTTTGGCTTTTCCTCTACAAATTCACCATAGCATTTGATGAGCTTGGTGGCAGAAGAAGTGCTTTGTTGTGATAGGAAGCTGTGGGCTGCAGGTCCTGCACCACGGGGCCCAGGAGCACCCAGGCCAGTGCTGTTGGGATGCTGCATCCCAGAAGTCAAGGGCTGTGGTCTCATCTGGCTTTGAATATCCATGACTGGAACAAAGCCAGACCTGTGTTACGCTGATAGCCAACACTCCACCTTTCCCTGGGATACCTTCCTAGTGAATCAAAGCTTTGATTTGTTCCTCATGGCATTCAAAGCCTCGCTGACACTCAGACATTGCCACGGGATGGAGAGATGCCCACTGGGTATCCTGCACCCTGTGTGCAGGTCCTTGAGGCATGGAGTATTCAGTGGGCTTCAGGCACCCATCGCAGTGCTGAGCCTCAAGATCTGAGCTTCCTTTGCTTCTGTCCCACAGTCCCACCCGCTGTCCCTGTGCAACACCAGTGAGGATGAACACACAGAGTCAGGATTCATCACCATTGTCAAGCTCGAGCAGCCGGATCGGGATCCCAACCCGTGCCTGTCGCTGGCTAACAAGGTATGTGCAAAAATACTCCAAATGGCACCAGTACAGGAAATGATGTGATGCAGGAAAGAGTAAAATTGTAACACTTCACTGGGTGAGGCACGTGAAGGATCAGCGCTGAGCAGCTCAGACCAAAGCAAACCAGACAGACTAGAAATGGGACGTGACTGCTGAGGGCCGCCATCCATCTGCCTTCTGAAGGAATGGGAGATCTCAGAGGTCTTCGGGTCGGGTCTCTGTGAGACAGTGCCTCAGTGAATGGCAGTTACTGTGTCAAAAGTTGAGGTCACTGGTACAATTCTCTGGTAATAAGGAAGTCAGGTGAGAATGAGGGTCATTTTAAGCCTTAAAATCTTTGTGTCTCTGATAAAGTTGAGCGGATGGAGCCTAACATTAGCTTTCTCTTCAGGGGCTGAGTCTGTGTCCTTTCATTGTCTCTGTATAAAGCGTTGTGTTATTTTCCATAAGCTCTGCACAAACGTGAAGAGCCTTGTTTAGCTCTTTGCTTTGTCTGTCTGGATTGCATTCGGTGGTGCAGCCTCGCTGTCTGCTTTCTGTGGATGGTGATGTTCTGCTGGGGACAGGCTCCTTTCCTGTCCTTGGCTGCAGAGGTCAGGCACAATTTGTACCAAGCAGCCCTTCCTGCACTGTTTGTTTCACAGAGGCTGCGGTGACAAAAGCAAGGAAAGGGGAGCGATGCTGAGACGACCCCTGTGTGATGGATTTCACAGCTCAAGGCTGCTTTCCCACAGCCTTACAGGCAACCAGGTGGCAATGCCCGTCCCTTTCTGCACTGGTGGTGCTGGCTGCCAGCCTGCTGCAGGCAGTCCTGCTGCAGGACCTCTCCTGGGGATGCTCACAGCTCTCTCCCTCACGCAGTACCACAAAATACAGGCAGATGTTCTTCAGCTGGCTGTGTTCCTGGGCCCTCCTTTGGACTTGTGCCTTGACTCCTTCACCCCCTGCAACCGCTGTCCTTCTGCACTAGAGTTTGTCTACTTTTCCATCCTCCTGAATCCTTCTGCTCAGCTCCTTCCCTCCAGCATTACACAGATCTATCCCCAAAGCTTTGGTTGGCATTTTTCTTTGGGAGCACAAGGGCAGCTGCGGGCTGTGGCTGGTGCTGGGGCAGGAGCCTTGTTCCCGCGGCGTGCATTGCCTGCGGCAGAGCTCTGCATGTTGAATTGCAGTGCTATATCAACGCTGATAAAAATAACCATGTGCAAAGTGTTATCATAACCTCTCCTGCAGCTGTCACCCAGCCAAGCAGTGCACATAGACAGCACTTTCAAGCCCGGCATGAGAATGACTCCATCAGTCACCTGATGCACTTTTCTGCTTCTATTCTCTTAGATGATAGCCCTGCTTCAACATCAGAGCTGACTTTGGTAGGAAGGTGTCTGATCTGCCTGGGGAGAAACAGCCATGGAGGACACATGGAGTCAATTCAGATTGATTTATTTCTATTTTTGCTGCATCATTTGCAATTCTGGTGTAGTTTTTCCCCATGTGAAACACTGTTCCAAGTCTGGTTGTCAGACTGCTGAAATCTCCTAAACCAACCTGTGAATACTTCCAGTTCTCAAAGAGTGAGATGAGCTGAAGAGAGCTGACACAAAGACAGCAAGCACTCAGCAAGCAGGCTGTGGATAGCCTGGACACAAGTTGCTTCTCTGCAACAGGAGTCTGAAATACGGTGTGAAAGATCACTTGCCCAGTCTTAGTTGTTTGTTTCCCCATCACTGGTGTATTTAGCAGGATAAAATCTTTGTAGAGCTCTTCAGTGTTCATCAAAGCTTGACTGGCTCCCATGAGTGGAAGTTGCTACTTGAAAGTCCTGTTTGCTCCTTGGTGCTGGAAAACGCCAAGGCTCCTCTGATCCCAGGCAGGACCCCAGGCTCTGATCCCTGCCCTGAGCCCCTAATTCCCCTTTTCCAGCTTCCGCATTTGTTCTGCCAAACCCAAGAGTGCCCAGTCCCATCAGCGACTCAGCCTTCATCCCAACCTCCTGGAGCTCCGTGGTCTCCCTCGCATTCTCCATTCCCATCCTACCCCAAAGCCCACAGCCAGCCCTGGCCCCCAGCTCCTCCCCACCAATGAGATGAGCTCAGAGGCTGCTTCCCCGGCGCTGCGTTTGATATTGCAGCTGGGAAGCTGCAGCTCTGACCTCTGGTCCCTGAGCTGGAGTTTGGCAATGCAGCGGGTAAACTGCTGCAGCAGCTCCGGCAGATCCCTGTTTGCACAGGCGCTCAGGACGCCCAGATCAAAGCACTCCGCATGAGTAACAGCGGCCCAGCCCTGCACTTTGTTCACGTTCCCGGCTCCCTTTCACAAGAGCTGCCTCTGCCTGCCTCGAGGGCTCGGAGGGCTCGGTGGGAGAACGTGGGTGACCCCAGGAGTTCCTTCAGCGTGCTTTAAGCTCACCAGCATGGTATGCACGCTCACTTGCGTGGGTCCCAAAGCTGTCCTCATCAGGCTGCAGCAAACGCTGGGCAGTGAGGAGCAGGGCAGGGCTGATCCCGCTCCTCATCCTGGGCCTGTAGCCCAGGGATCACCTGAGCCTCTCCCTGATGAGCGCAGAGGACAGGGAGCAGAGAAAGCAAGAGCAGGCATTGGTATCACTGCATCACCGTGCAAGCACAGAAATCGGGATGTAAGCTATTTCCTCAATCTGAACAGAGGGTATTGCTCCTGTGAAGAGCTGGGGAGGCAAATACTTACCCAAATGGTAGATATTAATGCAGATGTACAATATAAAATGTTTACTGAAGCTTCTGTTCTTTTGGACAGGCAAAGCTGGCAGGGGAGCGTGGAGCTCGTGCAATCCTTTTTGACATTACCGATGATGAAAGTGCTGCCGATCAGGTACAGACCTCACAGATGTTACCAGCTAAATCTCAGTGCCCCCTCCCCATCCCTAAATGTGCATAGGTCAGGACCCCCCACCACCAACACACAGTGGGAGGTCCCAGGAAGACAATGCAGCCTGGCTTGGAGCACTTACCAGCTTGCCCGTGCACACAGCACTTGTTCACTTTTGCACATCCAGATCTGCAGGCAGCAAAAGCAGCTTGTAAACGACACCTTGCTGCTTTTGAAGGATATTTCCTTGTCAATTAAAGGTGCTTTCCAGAAGCTGAGTGCTTCCTTGTGGGAAATCGTAGATGACCAGAGCCCATCCATCAGGGCTGGTGTAATTCAGAGGAATGGTGATTTCTCAAGTTTTCAAGCAGAAGTCATGGCAACTCTGGTATGCTGTTGGTGAAACTCTGGCTGCAAGTTAAACATCAGTGCTTCCACCAGCACTGCTCATCTCTGCAGTGGAATAGATTCCTTGCTGAAATAATCAAAGGATAATGAAAAGCATACAGCACTAGATAAGAGCACAGATAGGGGAGCTGTGCCTAAGATTAGCAAAATCTGGAGGAGAGATCAGACCTGGCAAGGGTACTGGAACATCTCTTTCAGGCTGTTCTGGAACGTCTCTCACCACATTTGTTTCATTACAGCTGAGAAAGCCCAGAGGTCTGAGTCAACCCGTGGTGCTGATCAGGGGCCACGACGCTGAGCTGCTCATGGGAGTCGTGAACAAGAACAGAGAGGCTCATGTGAAGATAGAGGTCAAGGAGCCACCAGCTTGGGTGAGACACACTGTTCCCACTGTTCCTGTATCCTTTCATCCCAGGACTTTCCCAAAGCTGCTGAACTTCCTTCCCCTGGGTTGCAGATGCTATTCCTTTGCCATTCTCCCTGTCTGCATCGTTCAGATGATGTCCTGCAAAGAAACACTCAAAAGCTCTTTCAGCTTATTTACAGCTTCTTTTGCTTAAACATCATAAGTGAACTGAGGGGATTTCTCTTCATATGAGATCAAGCCTTGATTTTCTTATTCTGTGCTAGCTTAGATCATGGCCTATAGTGTGTTGAGGTGCTGCAAAATCAAACGTCCATTCCTGATGAAATGTGCAGAAAAAAAACTGAGCCCTTTTTCTTTTCTGCCATCTGTAAAAACCAAGGAAGCAGAGTTTGGCCAAAGATGATTTATCCAAAGTCTGAAGAGATCAGAATTCCCCTGCTTAGCCTCTAAGTCCCATTCACAAGGGTAATTTCTTTTCTGTTTTATTCAACAGCCTGACTATGACGTGTGGATCCTTCTCACTGTGGTCAGCACTGTTGTCGTCATCATTTTGATTTTTGTCGTCCGCACAAAGTGCCAGCTGAACAGGACACAGGTAAGAATCTCACGGAGCAGACGTGTCTGAGCAAACAGAATGCATTGAGGGCAGCCCTGGACTCAGTTTGGGAGAGGAAATGTATGCCCTGGAGACAAGGCAGGTGTGTGCCTGGAGTGTGTGGAACGGTCCTGAGGTGGGTGGGCTGGCAGCATCCCTTTTGCAGTGATCTTGCTCTCCTCCTGCCACGCCACCCAGTCAGATGTATCCAGATTTGAAAATATCCTACATTTCCAATAGACGGACGAGCCTCTGGGGATCAGAAATTCAGCACCACTGAGCAATTTTGAATGTTCATTATCAGTTATCTCCTGCTGGTAACAAAGTCCTCTCTGGATGGGCAAACAATCATCCCTGGAAATTGCTCCCAAATCTGCAATAATCACATTTTCAAAAGTGGAAGAACCTCAAGGAACATGACAATGCATGCCTGAGCATCTCCTGAAAGCCTCCTTTCTCCTGGCAGGACTCGGTACAGCAGCAGACCATGCAGGCCATCAGGCAGCTGGCCACACGCAAGTACCAGGCCAGGTGCCGGCAGGCGTCGCGGTGGGACTCGGCCAGCAGCTGCAGCTCAGCCCCGGTCTGTGCTATTTGCTTGGAGGAGTTCACTGAGGGCCAGGTAGGCTGTAGGCATGGCTGTGAGTGAGCCTCAGCTCTGAGCTGTGGTCGGGCAGGAGCTTGGCAGGGTTGGGAGGCCCTGGGGAGGCTTCCTTCAGCAGCTTCTGAAGGCTGGGAGAGGTTCGGTGGTGATGGAAGTCTGACTGCCCCTTGGCCCCAAGGCACTGGACCTACCTGCAGATTCCAGTTCCCTAAAGATGAGTCTCCAATTGTTACTGAAGGGTATAGTGTCCATCATGTGTCCGTGTTGAAAGAGTGAGGCAAAAGTGGGGTTTGCTTCTCCTAACCAGTCAGTCCATAATCTCCCTGTTCCCAAGGGCTAGCAGCTCTCAGGACATCACTTCCTAGGGCTACATGCAGCAAGCAGAACCAAAGATGCCAGACAGCTGAACAGCCTCCTCCATACAAAGCTGGGCTGCAATGGCTTGCTGCATGTCTCAGTCTTTCAAGTGTTGCCTCCTGGAACATCACAAGCCCCCTCTCTGTACCCAGTTCTTGAGACAAGGTTCTCCTCACTCACTCTCCTCGTCCTCTCCCTGCTTCTTTCTAGGAACTGCGGATCATCTCATGCTCCCACGAGTTTCATCGGGAGTGTGTTGACCCCTGGCTGCAGCAACACCACACGTGTCCACTTTGCATGTTCAATATTCTTGGTAGGCATTTCCCAGCCAGGGATAGGGGTGGGTGCAGGGACTGTGCCCAGGAGGAACACGTACCTTTGGGCAATGCATGCAGTCAGTGCAGCACAGGAATATGTCTGTGTGTGGGGGGGCAGTATCGGGCAGTGTGTGCATGGATGGGGGATGTCTCCGGAAGTGCACGGTGAAGTTCTGGACTGAGGCAGGATCTGTGCCATTCCCAGGGCCGGTGGGAGTAGGAGTTGGGCTCCAGAAAGGATGCTGGGTGTGCAAACCATCAAGAGAGTTTGGTGGCAGTTGTGAGCTGACACAGGGCACAGGTGGGATGTGGGTATGGGTGTGTGGTAGAGGCTCGACGATGCTGAGGCCACCGCAGCCAGGCCATAGGGTATTCGCTTGATGCTGCCGTCTCTCTTCGCAGCCCGAGACTCGGTGGATCAGGCCACAGTGGCAGGCTCCAGGCTGGCTCCTCGGGACATGGAGCCCGGACGACGGCTGCACCTTTTCCGCCAGCACCCAGGACATTCCCTTTACCACCTTCCACATCCGTATCCTCAGAGGAATCTCAGGAGCTTCCCCTCAGAGCCAGCCCACAGCAACCCCTTCTTCCACTCTCCAGAGCTCTCCCAACTGGATTTTGGAACAATCCACTACATGCCATACAGGCCAGCCAGCTCCCTGCCCGCCTGCGGACACACGTCCCCCCTGGCCTCCGGTTTGCGGGGCCAGCAGCACCCCAGCCCTCCGGCGTGTGGGCAGCCCCCCCACAGGACGTGTTCCCTGCAGCCCACACCGCCCTGCCTGGGGCTGACGGCAGCCCTGGCACAGCGGCAGCACCGGGCGCCCATCCCACGCCGGGGGGTCAGCCACGGGCACCAGCACAACAGCAGTGGCTCCGGGGAGAGCTATCTCACGGAGCACAGCGGATACCTGGCGGACGGTCCAGGCAGCGACTCCAGCTCGGGGCCCTGCCATGGTTCTTCCAGCGACTCCATGTTGAACTGCACAGACATCAGCCTGCAGGGCATCCATGGCAGCTGCTCCACTTTCCGCAGCTCCCTCAGCAGTGACTACGACCCCTTTGTGTACTGCAGCTCAGATGGGCCCACTGTGGACAATGGGCCGGAGCGGCAGCGGACGCTGAGGGAGACACGACCCAGGTCCTTGGACCTGATGGTGCCCGGCAGTGCCGCTCCAGCCAAGGCCCAGGTGCTCAGCCACATCCACTACCACCACCACCAGCACCACCACTACAGAAGGGATGTGGAATGCACACCTGGCCAGGATGGCTCGGGCCCTGGGCAGCGCAAGTCCCGATACTCTGGGGCTAAGGTTGGTTTTCACAGTGCTCGGACGCAAAAGAGGGTTGAGAAGAGCCATCACTGTCAGCAGCCTCTGGAAAGCAGGACAGAGTTGCAGGAGGCTCCTCCGGTGGGACAGCCAGCCTGTCCCCAGCAAGGTTGGGAACCCCCGCATGCCCCCTCCACTTCTCCCAACAGGTTGGACTTCGGTGTAGATGCCAACAGACAGTCGGGAGCAGCGGGCACGTCCCTTGTGCTGCTGCCCCAGAGACACAGCTTACAGAGTCGACATCACCGAAGGAAAAGAAAGTGTCCCCTGGAGCTTGACCCCGCTCTCCTGCCCGAGGATTCGGCCTTGCCCAAAGCCTGTGATGCTCACATTTCTCATGGCCACACTGCTGGCCACCGCTGCTCGCCTGAGGTCCAACCCCTGATCCCAAGCTCTCCTATGCCCTGCAGCACAGGCTCCCGGCCGCTGTGGAAGTGTTTGGTGCCACAATCCAGCTCAGAGCTGAAAAAGCAGGAGGAGGGGATGTCAGGACGGGAGGGAAACCGCGCAGTTCCTGCTGGTTTCTCAGGAACAGGCACCCCAAGGCACAGTCTCCACCTGCACTGCCCAGCTCAGCAGTGTAGGCAGGGTGAGTCTAGTCTGGGTTTTCTCTTTCGGCAAGCAGATGGTGAGAGTGGGTTGCTGCAGGTGAGGTGGGAAGGTGCTCCAGCTGCCTGTAGGCTTTCCTATAGGACTGCTGGTGACAGAGGTGTGCTGGATCTCGCCCATCCTCAGGTGATGGCTGGAACGATTGGCACCTGAGTGCACCAAACCCCACTATCTCATCCTAAAATAATTCCAGCAGCTCTGTAGGAGTCTCTAGCAGACAGAGTTTCTTCCAACGGAAGGGGTGGAACCACATTTCTGGGTATCCTCACCTCGGACTGGATGTTCTGATGGCAGAGCCCTTGTCATTAAGGTTCATTGGGCTTTGCTGTTTGCCCCAGCTTGCCAGCCTCAATAAGGAAGTGTGTGTGCATGGCTGCAAGTAGCACAGGAACAGACTGAATGAGTTTATGGACTTGCACATCCCTCCTGTCTCACCTGCCCCTGCTGTGTGGGAGTTGTTTCTTAGTGTCTTCTGGAAATTAGAAGTAATTAAGATCTGGCCCTTTGCCTAACTGCCGTACGTCAGTTCTGCCTCCTTGCGCGAGTTTGAGAGCGGGATGTTTGGAGGCTCAGCTCCCTGGTTCCTCTGCAAATGGCAAGCTGCAGGCAGCAGGGGCAGGTGCCAGGCTCCCCTCCTCACCCTGCCACTGACTCACTGCCGGTCCCTGTGCAAATCATTTTGATTTAAGTACCCTATACAGAACTAGCAGCCTAATTTCTGGCCTGAAGCTCGTGACTCACTGTGCCCATTGTACCACGCAGATAATAACTTCCTCCCCACGCTGTCTATCCAGCCCCACACCCCACCCAGGCTCCTGGCCACACCGTACCTGCGAGGAGGCAGCAGGGAAGAGAGGCCAGCTGGGCACAGGGCTCAGTGCAGTGCCTGCAGCCTCTTCCCTGGCACAGAAGTGCCTGGTGCTGCAGATGGGTGATGGGGGAGTTTTTTCAAAGGGTGCAGAGGGATGCTGCTGCTTTGGGAGATGTCTCTGCAGTTTGCAGCAGCTCTGAGGGCTGATGGTGCGCCCAGAGCTGGAAGCAGTGTGCAGCAGTGTTGTCAGGACAGTATCAAAGCACCATGGCATGGTGCATTGCTCAGGAGCCTGTGCAAGCTCCCATTTCCAAACAAAGCCCATGCACTGGTGTGGCTCAGCATGAACCACACTGTCCCCAACCCAGGCGCTGCCCAGGAGGGGCAGTGCCATTCCTGGGGGAGAGCAGAGCAGCTCCTAGAGGAGCTCCAGGTTCCTCTCATGGACAGCACTGTCTGCAGCACAAACAGCCTTGTCCACCAGCTCTTATTGCCTGGACACTTGTGACATGGCTGCTGCTAGGACACATAATGCCTCTGTCCTCTGCTCCCAGTCTCAGGGCAGTCAGCACTTCTTCCAGTTGTGGTTGTAGAAGTGGGGTAGGGAAGCACCTGGTGAGTGTGACAGCGCAGGGCTATGCACTGACCTCTCCACCTTGCAGCAGCAGAACTCGATGTTCACCAATGATCACTGCAGTCTGGGTCTGAATGGGGTCTGAGGGGAATGAAGGTGTCAGGCAGTCTTCCCTGGAACCCCCTGTTCTGCTGGGCAGAGGCCAGTAGGACAGAGAGGACAGAGCCTGTGCTCTTGTCCCCATAATGTACATGTGGATTACCTCCAGATCAGGAGGTCAGCCCAAATGCTTTCTTGTTTGGCAGTGGAGGTGCAGCCATCTTATTTCTTTATTTCATAAACCTCATACCTTGAAACATAGAGGTTTCAGGTTGACCTTCCTGTTCTTAGCTTCTCCCTAAAGGAAGAGAATATGGGAAAAGAGCAAAGGAGCAGACAGCTTTAGGAATGGAGATGCCTAGTGTGTGAAACACAATGCACTTGCTTTGGCAGCCACTGCCCTGCTCCCCTTCTAGGAAATGTGTGATGTTCTGCCAAGTCTCAGTCCTCACTCTGACAAAACCCTCATTTCAAGCAGTGCCTATTTCCTTCTCTTTAGTTGTCTGAATTTGCTGATGTTTTTCAGATTGTTTTTTACTTCTCCTGTCTGTGTCTCCTCCCTTTCTGTGATCCCCCCTGGGAGGACACAGGGAGATGAAGGAGAGCACATGCCTCCCCCCAGCCCAGAGGAGAGGGGGCAGCAGGGGTCCCCCAGGACATCTGCCAGCCCCACATGGGCTCTGCTTGCCTGATGTGGAGCTCCAGGGCATTGCTGTGCTGTGACACTGCTGCTGCTCTGTGGGTTTGTCCCAGAGGCTCAGAGCCTGTCCATCCTGATGGAGTGATGGGGAAGGCACTCTGATGCCTGGCTAGAGCAACTGGCAGGGTAACTTTGCAAGCCAACTGTCCCTCTTACCTCCATCTGCTGGGAGCATGGAGAATCGATGTGTCTGAAGGCAGTGGGACTCTGTCTGATAGCTGTAGCTTCAGTGGATGCTTTCCAGAGAGTCAAAATTTCTTTATAAGAGTTAGAAAATACTTAGAAAACAAAAATTGAATTTTGTTAGGAACCAAGGAAAGTTGTAGTGAGCAAAGTTGTAGTGAGCAGGAGTTCTTGCAGGGCTTGTACAGAAAAGCCATCAAGCTGAAAACACTGCTTGTCATGACACAACCTGTGGTGTTACAGTCACCTCGGTGCTTTATCTTGGAAAGGGACTGGACGTAAATCAGTGGGGGACAGGTAAACAAAGAACAATCGACAGTCCTGCTTAAGTGGGACATGCAACAAAAAAGTCAAAGAGACCAAGGAGAAATGCAAATACATGTCTAAATAAAGGTTGCAAGCTAAAAATGTAAGTGGATGAATTAGGAAGCCTGGTTTTAGATGACATTTTTGCCACTAACTTTTCAGAATGCCATTTAAAAAAAAGCCCAACACGATGGGACTGTGTAATTTCCATGTGGAATTGTAGAGAGGAGTGAGTCTCTTCAGGTGGCATTAGAGGGCACTCTGTGTTAAGGAAGGTATAAAGTCCAATGGCAAGAGACACAAAATCCCCAGTTGTGCCTAAGTAGAAATTAAGTGGTATTAGGGTTATAGTACACTGCTTTATCATGGGCTGCAAAAGAAGAACTCATACAAACATGAGGCTGTTGAAATAATAGTGAAAGGAGCAGTGGAAAGAACAAGATGCTTTTGGGCACAGGCATTGCTTGAAGACACAGGAGAGGAAGCCCAGAGTCACACATCTCACCAGCCAGAAAAAGGCCTCAAAAAGGGCTGGCGGGGCAGTGCAATTACAAACAATAAACCATTCTTCAAAAGTGAAGGTGTGGCCAGCCGAGAAATCAGAGAGTTGAATATAAAGCTAAGGGCAGAGCCACATGAGGCAGGAAGGGAAGAAGACTTCTGTGGGCAGCTCGTGCAAAGCAGAAGAGCTATTCATGCAAAGGTGTTCATCTCCATCAGTAGGAAGAAGCGTGCCGGAGGCTCTGCGGCAGTAAGGTGTGTCTGAGAGGGATGTTCAAGGGCAGAGCATAGCAGAGAAGCAAAATGAACTTCCTGCATCAGTGATCAGCAGGGAAGTGCTTGAGGAGGTTCTCACCCCAGCACAGCTCATGGGTGAGAGGATCCCTCTCAGATCACAGCACCAACGTGAGCATTTCCAAAACTCATCAATAAAGTGAACGGTACAAAATTGCCAGGGGTGTGGATTACTCACCAGAGCATCGTGCAAGGGCTCTGGCTTTAAAAAAGAGCTAAATCATGACTAGTGGACTGTAATCTGCTGCCCAGAGCCAGCAGGAAGAGAGCAACATCAGCTTCCATAAGCTGGAGCCGCCGAGCAATGAGCCTGACTTTCCTGCCAAGCAAATGGTTACAAATTCAAATCCAGGGTCTGACTTGTAGATGAATGGCTAAGTGTGAAATCCAGGGGAGGAGGCAGCACAGCTTTTGTAGAGAGAGATAATGCTTCCCAGCTCTTACAGGGGAATGAAGCTCCCAAAGGATAGGAGAGAAGGTGCTCTCAGAGGTAAATAACAGGCTGAAAAATAGGAGACAAAGTGCAGAGCAGTCTTAATGGAGGAAAGTTACTCGGGAAGGGAGAGAAGTGGAGTTCTCCAGCTGTCAGCACCTTTCATCAAGCTCATAAATATCCTGGGCAAGGAGAGGAGATAACAGAGTTTGTAGAAGACAAAATCCTTCAGGACTGTCAGCTTTAAAACTGGTTACAAAGTGCTACAGAAGGACCTCCTGCTGCTGAGTTATTGGGCAATAAAGTGGCAGGTGAAATTCCGTGTAAGTAACGCAAAATGCCACACAAGAGCAGAGCTGCTCCTAAGTATGCATGCACTGCAATGGGCCCTTCTTGCAGCCTCAGGAAACAGTCCTGGTCTCACTGTGAGTACTTCTGCCAAAGAACTGCTCAGAGCTGTCTGGGGACAAGGAGAGGAGCAGCAGAAAGTGCTGCTGTGCAATTGTGTGAACCTGAGGTGCTTCTAGAGCTTTAGTGCAACTCATCACCACCTCTCATAAAAGGATGGAGCAGACCTGGGAGAAGTGCAGGAGGGTGCAATCACAGTGCTGAGGTTTTTCTGAGGAAACAGAATGTAGAGATTTTCACATGGGAAAATGATGACTAGCAGTGGATATGATACAAAATCAGGGAGAGCAGAGCAGATGGCAGCTAAAAGACACTCTTATGACAGAATAAGTAGTGGCATCAAATGGGAAATGGAAGCTTTGCAACACCCAGTAAGGTAAGACATGGTTCATAGTGGTGCCCAGTGCCCAGAGATGTAAGTGCCAGAAGTAAAATGGGTTTGACAGCCTAGATCAAGAGCTATCAAATGCAGAGATGCAGATACCATCTCGGCTCAGGAAGTCCCTAAAGCAAGGTATCCAGAAGCTGACGGTGTTCCTGTGGGACGTGACACCCTCCAGGTGTGTGCATACCTTGCCCAGATCAGCTGATGCTGGATTTTGGTGAGGCTGAATCACAGCCCCGGCAGAATCTGCCCTTTCCCAGGCAGTGCCACGCACTAGCATTGTGGCATACCAGGGCACTAATGATGATTCCAAAAATGCCTGCAGCACCTTGGAGTTCATACGGCTTTTCTTGGTGTGGTTTGCATGAAGATACATCCCTGCTTCCCCTACCTGGGAGATGAGCCTGGGCCTTACAGCTCTGACTCATTTCTCTGAAGAATCAATCCTCAAGCAATGCTGAGAGGATTCTTTCAAGAGAAGCCAGACAGCTAGCAGTGAGTTACAGCTAGAT